TACTACAGCACAGCGTGAGTTTACAGAAGGCTTTGGTGTTCCTCTCATTTTTTTTTTTTTTGCCTTTTCCTTTTTTTTGTTTTTAATTTAAAGGTGCACTTGTCCCACTTAGTTACAGATGGGCTGCCTGGAAGTCTCCCAGCAGACAGCTGCCAGGTCAGCATCTACGCCTTGAGTCTGTCCACTGGAAACTGGTTTCCATGGCTGCTCTCAGCTGCTCCAAGGAGAACAGGTGTGTCCCTGCAGGGAGGTGGCTCTGTGGCCATTCAAACTGAACATGGAAGTAGGCTGCCTCCGGAGAGGGGAACCCTGCTTCACCCCAGGCACCAGCAGTGGTTTCCTTGTGCTGGCACTGCTGATTTTGCTACCAGCCAGCACGCATCTGGCTGACACCTTAGGAAAGCAGTGGTAGCTTTATTTAGCTTCTCCTGCAGCCACGGGCTGCCTCAGCAGCACTGGGGTGAGCTGGCACTGCTGCCATGGGAGCAGAGAGCATCAGAGCGGTTACGGCTTGCCAAAAAGAGTAGATATGGCCTGAAAAAAGTTAGTATTTTCTGTGCTAATCAGCCTGATAAGCATATTTTTTGCGACCCCCCCCCCGAATCTTACAGAACATAACTATGTCAGTTTTACAGGATTTGAAAACTTCTTTTTTTGGCAACAGCCGTATGTGGTGCTTTTGAGAACAAGGTTTTGGTTCCAGTTTTATTCAGTTTGCTGAAATGCCTCAGTCAAAGGAGGGAGATAAACCTCCAGCTCGTTTGCCAGTGGTCAGGGTGCACAGCCACGCCACCCTGCTTGCCCTCCCCCTGGGGAGTCGCTGCTGCTGTAATGACGTCTGGGTGCTGGGTCAAGGGAGCGAAGGCAGAGCGATGGGTCTGGGAGGTGATCTTGTGTTTTTGCAGAGACCAGGGGAGTTGGGCAGTCCGACGGCGTAGGAGCTTCTCATGGGATGCTCTGAGAGAGGCACGTACTGTGTCGGCTGCCGTGAAAACTGTGGACCCGTTGAACGATGAGCATGGAGGTGCAGTTCAGGTACGATTAGCACCTGGATGTAGAAATCATTTTATTGGCATCGTGCCTGTTTTGTAGAGGTTTGCTTTCTTTAGACTTATGTTTTCCCTTTTCATATGTATCGTGAGAGATCACTTTGCTTGTTTCCCAGTAAATGAAACTAGTTTGTCTAGTATAAGCTGACAGATGTGGCAGTGCAGAGTGTGAGCACACAGGAGCCTGTGTGATGGCTCTTTGTTCTATCCAGTATCCTACGAAAGGTCCGTAGTAGCAGTTATTTTTGCTTTTCTTGTTGAACCCTAGATTGTGAGAGATGCAAGATGATTTTCCCTCAGATTCTTCATTTACTTTTTTCTTTTTGTGTTCAGAAAGAAGGGCGATGTGGTTGGGTTTACATGCAGCTGCACTGAAGTCTAAAGCAATCAACCCTGTGGCCGAACATACAGGGACACCCCTCAACTCTTTTCTTTTTCATGGGAGTGTCATGGATGTGCAAGTCATAGTATGACCTCGGATTTAGTGTACTGATAATCGTCATGATTGAGTATCACACGGAGCGCAGGCACTTGGAAAGTATGTGTGTGGCAGTTGGAAGAGTGTAGGTAGTTGGTGGCGAAGGGTGGGATTCCGAAACACAGCGGTGGTGGAAGGGAAACTGGTGTTACCTCAGGTCAGGCACAGCTGCAGCTTGCTGCTGCATTACTGCTCTGACCAAGGAGCCGCTCCAAAGGGACAGTCGCATTTTAGTGGACACCTAATTAAGCAAATAAGGTTTTAGGTAGGCCCCGTGCTTCGTTGAGGATCCACCTCTGTGTGTGTGAAGCTGTCACAGAGCGAGCGCTGGCAGCGGTGAGGGTGTGCGCCCCCTTAAAATATGTGACAGCTTTGCAGTTTGTGCGGGGCTGACCTAATTGGCAGAGGCTCGACTTGGCTGTTGGGTTCCCCGGGGAGTCAGCAGAGGATGACACGGACAGCTCTGAGTCCCTGGCAGCTCATTTATGGCAAGAAGGCAGAGGTAAACGGGCACATCCTGTGCCCCAGAAACAAGGGCATTATTGAATTAAAGTAGACCCAGCCAAGACCTGGTCTTCCATTCCGTCAGGTGCTGCTGCCTGAAGGAGGCTGTGGCTGTGGGGACAGAAGGGCTGGGGGCAGCCAGGCGTGCCTGCAAATGGAGTCGGGGCTGGTCAGGGACACTGCCCACAGTGATGAGCTGTGCCCAGTTCAGAGAACAGACTGCATGCTCCCCCAGCCCTCCCTGCTTGCTGCCTTGCGGCTGTTTCCTTCTCCCTACTGCTCCGCAAAGTACATGAGTTTGTCAAACTGGGCAGAGCAAAGCAGCATTAATCCCCCTTGGCTGCTGCTCCTACAGGATTTTATGGTCAGGGTGCAGAATTGGTCTGGCGTCTGCCTGGTAGCTGTGGTCTGCGTGCCTAGGGAAGGAGCCCTCCTGGTTCCTGGGTGGCAGAGGTGAGCTGTGCAGTCCTGAAAAGGAGCGGACACTCTCCGTGGGGGGTGTGAAGCACCTGGGCTGCACTCCTGTGGGACTGTGTCACCCTCCGGCAGCAGCCAGGGCTTGAGTGACGTGGGAGCCCGGATCAGCCCAGGTCCAACACTGGGCACTTGCTGGGGTGGTCCAGAGGTGCCATCTCTACCTGTAAGGTGCG